CTGGGTATCCATTCATATGTCAATCAGTGCAATTGTGGCATCTTCCAGGGGGCGGGGTCAGGAGGTGGGCAGACCCGGGGCTGAGTCTCAGGCTGTGGAGCAGACCGGCGGGTCACGGCCCAGCCAGACAGCAGCCCCTCAGCCCTGGAAGAAGTTGCCAGTGAGAACTGTTGTGTGGCCTCCTGGATGTTAATGCCATTAAAACCAACATTGTCGCCCGGCACTGCGGTCTCATCTGGTCTTCTGCTGGGGTGCCCCACCTGGCTGCTGGGCCCAGGATGAGGAACGAAGAGGGGCTGGCTCCCTGGGAGAGAACAAGTGTGGTTCTTGGTTTCTTTGAAGTCAGGGGATCAGCAGCTCCGTCCTGCTTCCCCCCATGCTTTTCCCATGGTGCCAGCTGGGCCCCAGTGCCCACTGGACAGGGTGAGGGAGCAGGGCCCGTGACCCCTGGTGGCCAGATGCACTGGCCACAGTCCCCACCCTCGAGGATCTGACGTTACCTGAGCAGAGCTGTGGGTAGTGAGCTGTTGTGTGAAGTGAGCTCCGTGAACAAACAAGGGGGTGTCTGTTCTTCTGGCTGGGGCTTAGACAAACATCCACCGCTCAGGAGTGGTGGGCCAGGGCCCCGGCAGCTCATTGCCTGCACCATGGAAGCAGGGTTTCACTGGTGGGAGCCAGCTCAGTCTTCCCCTGATCCTGAGACCTACCGTGTCGTTGGTGACCCAAGGCCACAGTCCAGGAGAATCTTGGGCCAAGAGGTGTATCAGGGGCATTGTAAGCCATAGGAACTTGGAGCTTAAGCAAAAAATGGATTTAGAGGCTGAGTCACTGACAGCAGGTCCAGCCAGCTGATGCTCCCGGGGAAAGGCAGCCTGGAAGCCCTGCATCTCATGCACCCTTTCACATGGTGGGTCTGACTCCTCTTTGGGGTAGTTGTCATGGGAAAGACCTTGGGAAGTTTCATGGGGCACGTGTGTCCTCTAGCCTCCTTCACTCCCCACACACTTGCACCTGCCACGGGCCACACAGTGCTGCCCTCAGTGTGCACGACCCAGAACTGGTCCCGACTTTCAGGGAGTGCCTGGTCTTTGGGCCACCTAACCATGCCATGTGGCACTTGGGTGTTGCCACTCTATTGGGATCAGGGTGCTGGGAATTCTGAGAATGCTCCCCCTAGATGTGAGCTTAAGCTGGAGTTCAAGCAGGGGAGGGGAGGAAGGGTCAAGGCTGAGGGGACGGCAGGTGCAGAGGTGTGGAGGGGACTGGAAGGGAGGGCGAGAAGACATTGTGGAGCCAGGTTACAAAGGACAAGGGGTCTGGACGGGTGAGACAGGAGCCACTGAGGTTTTAAGTAAGGGGAGAGTACTGTACCTGTTCTGGAACTTCGGAGGAGCTAAACTGGAGAGGGAGCCATGGAATCTGGGAGATGGACGCCATGGTTTCCGGCCGCGAGACTGAGGAGGAAGTAACCAGCAACAGCTGACGCCTACCATGTGCCCAGTCCTATGCTTGGTTCTCACGGGCAGTCTTTCTGTCCCTGTGGGAGGCCAACCACCCCTACAGTTTGCAAAGAATCCCCAGGGAAGTGAAGGTAGCACAGCTGGTAAAAGGGCAGGTTTCAATCCTGCCTCTAACACTTGCCAGTGCTGCAGGCAGCCTGGGGGGGTCAGCTGGAGGGAGTTTCGTTTTGGAGTGTACGGACCCCATAAACAGTGGGCCCTGAGCCCCGCAAACCTGCGGCCCATCACCGTGCACCTCCTGCGTACCCTGTGCAGTGGGAGCAGGGGTTCAATGCTGGAGGACTGGTGCTGTGCTGGGGGGTCACAACTCATCCTCCCACACACAGTGGCTTTATACGCGGTCAGTGGTTTGGGGCCCTGGTGAGTTTCCTGGTGGGAAACGGAGGCCAGACCTGCCCTGTACTAGGCCTCCTGCATCTGAATCCCCATGTTGGCCTGGGAGCCTGCGCTTCCAATAAGCGCCCCTCGCTCTGCCACACTGCAGAACTGTGAACCCCTGTGCTGGGCAGACGGCCCTCAGAAGGCCCAGGAGTGGCACCCAGATGGGAAGCAGAAGGCCCTGGGGGTGCCAAGCCGCTGCCTTGGGGCCCTACAGGGCCATGACTGCTCCCTGGGTTCTAGCCATGACCCTGCTCCCTCCCAAGACCACCTGGTGGGGCCCACTGTTTCCCTGTGGGGAGGAGGTAAGACAAAGGCAGGTACAGTGCAGGGTCTAGGGCCCCATGGGGATGACCTGGGGCTCCAGAAAATGCCACCTTGGAGATGTGAGCCCCGCAGCTCAAGTCCTAAGGGCCCATAATCAGTCCTCCTCCCCAGGGTCCCAGCAAGGCCTGAGCAGCTGAGGCCCAGCCAGACCTCCCGGGCCAGCAGAGGGAGCCCAAGTTTGCCAGGCAGCCTGCTGGGCCTTACGTCCGCCTGGCCTTGTCACCATGCCTGCTCCTGGGCAGGGTTCCATCACCAGGCTTGGGAAGAGCCCTTCAGCAAGACACCGGAGGCAGCAGCCCTCGACAGATTGTAGCACAAGAGGCTGACAGGATCCCTGGTATTCCGTGTTCCTCCACGTGGTACAGACACCCCCCGGGCCCCAGGCTCACTGGCCTGGCCGTTCCCACCCCCATGCTGCAGATGTCGCAGCACCCCTGCAGCACTAGAGGACTGGCTTTTGTGGTCACTTGGAAGGAGGTTCACTGTGGAGGCAGGAATCACCCAAGCTGGGCGAGAGCACTTACTAGAAGGCACTGGCTGGCCTGCCAACAGGAAGCACTGCTCCCCTAGGCCTGGCTTCAGAGGCCACAGCCTGGGCTTGGCCACCAAGAGCAGCGAGGGAGAGTTCTGAGAACACCTAGTCTAAACCCCTCCCCTTTAGAGACTCCTGGAATTGACCTGACGCTCCAGGGTCACATGGCCCCTAGACTGTATGTACCTCCAGGCCTTCCTCTGGGTCTCTCTGCTGTGTAATATTTAATAAAATGCACAAGCACCAGGATGCCTGGCCTGTAGGCAGCAAAAAAACATGATTTTTAGACACTTCTAGAATGCCTTCTCTCTGAGCTTCCTTCACGTTTGGGTCTCACAGGACTCAAAGACCAAAAGAACTGTATTGTTTTCCTCCCCTCCTGCCCCAGCTCGAGTCTCATCCCTGGCACTGAACAAGATCCAACCCTTAGAATTCCAGACGTTAGAAATGAACTCGGGGGCCAGCCCGGGGCTCAGTGGTTAAGTTCGCATGGTCTACTTCAGTGGCCCGGGGTTTCGCAGGTTCCGATGCTGGGTGCGGACATGGCAACACTCATCAGGCCATGCTGATGTGGCGTCCCACATGCCACAACCAGAGGCACTCACAACTAGAACATACAACTATGTACTGGGGGGCTTTGGGGAGGAGGAGGAAAAAACAAAAGGATTGGCAACAGATGTTAGCTCAGGTGTCCATCATTAAAAAAAAAAAAAAAAGAAACGAAGTCTCCAGTGGTGCCATGGGAATAGCTCACAACCAACCAGAAAACAAGAGACCCAAGTTGTGGTCCCAGTTCTGCTGCCTATGAGCTATGTTACCTGAGGCAAGTTACTTGACCTCTCTGGGCTGGCTACTGAGGGTGCTGGCTACAGGCTCTGTAAGTCTCCTCCCCACTGCCCTTCTGGAACCAGGCAGAGCCCAAGGAGAGCCATGGCCCTCCAAGCACTGCTCCAAGTACACAGCTCCTTCCACCAAAAACCCTGACTCCTGGAGCTTCGCCTTCTCCCTGCCATAATGCAATTAATGACCCTGGAGACTACTACAATATTTCAGAAATGCCCCTAATCATAAGGAAGTGATGCGTCCTTGGGTATATCCAGTCTCCGACAGTCCGAAGGGCAATGAACCCGTCACGAAGCAGAAGCTGCACTTCCTCTGTGTGGACCAGCCAGCACTCTGGGCAGTTCTGCAAAAAGAAAACCACTCGACTAAGCCTAATTCTATTATTCACATCACAGTGTTCACTGTTTTCTCAGAGATTAACATTCTTTGAAATAAACTTCACAGTCAAGCTCTGAATGCCTGTTAGCAGTGGCTTTATTTGCTTCTTTCTCAAGGCAGGAGTACTCACTAGAGGAACCCTCCATCAGCTTTCCACACGCTTTCTGCGCTGTGTTAACACCTGGAGATGTGTCAGTGTGCTGGAAGCAGAGTAGCCCTGCAGTTTTCTTCCTCACCGATGTCAGCTGAGATCTCAAATTCTAATTCTGCATCAGAATTTCCCAGAGTGCTTGTAAGCAGATTCTTGGGCCCCAACCTCAGGAATCCAATAAGACTCTCTCTCAAAAGCTCCCCTGGGTAGAGACAGAAGTAACTATGAGCATCTCCCTGACTTCTGGAGTAAGAGTGGAGTGTGATGAGGTGTTTACACTCTATCACATCCCTGCACACGGTGAAATCCTTCCCCTGCAGGCATCTCCACCCACACACACGTGCATGCACACACACCTTCATGGAGTGGTGGTTATCTAAGTAATGCCACAGGTCACAAGCTGAAATCACGGAAATGACTTTCTCCTAAAACTCCTTGACCAAATACCTGGCTCTGTTGAGAGGGCTGATTCTTGAGAGGGCACTCTTGGGCCACTCTCAGGAGGCCTGTTAATGCACCATGGCTATGAAAAGCACCGCTTGACAGTAGAGGAAACAAGAAATTCAAGATGAAAGAATGACAAGCAGCTTATCAGTAAACCAGTAGCCAGCACTATTTTCTAGACAATTTTGAGATGAGTATTTTGATTAAAGCATAACTTTTTGCCTCCCAAATAAATCAGAGAGGAGATAAAAGCCTGGCATTTAGATAAACACTTAGAATAAGATTCCCAACTTTTACATTCAATCAAGAGGAAGGAGCTGTGACCCTAACTTTAATTGTCCAAAATACCCAAACTTCCATGACTTACCCCCTTATGGAAGGCAAAATCCTTTATCCCTAATTCACACGTGAATAATTACACGAGAGAGAAGTTAAAAATGCTTCCTTTATTACATAAAGCCAATTCTGCTACTTCTAGGTTCAACGGTTTGTGCATCTCTATATTGTTCAAAGTGTTACTATGCTTGTGATATTAAAGACGATCACTTCCAAGTGTCATCAGGTAGTGGCTTCCTGTGGCTGTCATCCATCAGCCTGCTCCCCATTTCACATATAGTCGACAAACCGCTCTAGGAAATTAAAAGTTCTCCCAAGCCCCAGAGTAAACACACACTTCATGTTCTTCCACACTTTATATTGTACCAGAAGCAACCAAGTTCTGAAGGAGACACAAAGATACCACAGGTGTCCCAGCTTGTCAATATACTGCTTTATCATGTTCATTCAAGTGTCTTACAATGGAGCCCTGATTTGAATTATAATTAGTTGTTATAAGATATTGCACATTCTCCTGAGGACACACCACGATTTCCAAGATGCAATGTCACTGTCTCAGAATAGTCTCCTCACGAGCGAGGAGGCGGTCTCCAACTACGTGCTGGAAATAGTGCTTTGCGAGATCAGCGCTGATGAGAAGCGTACACCACGGTGAGGCAAACTCCACCAGACATCTGGGAGGGTGGGAAGACTGCCTGACTTCATCTTACTGTAGTTAGCATATTAGTGCTATTCTGTGTCATGAGGAAAATTATTTTCCATTATTCAGTTTAGCTCAAAAGTATAAAGAATTTGGGCCAAAAATTATAACCAGATTATGACCAATTCTCCAAGCAAAAGAAACAAAGTAACTGCTGAGGGTAACAAAGACGCAATAATTGTCTTCATACGGCCTTGTACTGTTTTGTGAACTGCATTATTAAAAATCGTTAGCTTAACAAAAATCTTTACAAGCCAACTCATCAAAACAGGCAGTTGGCCAATAAAAATTTAATTTCACACCAATAGAACTTGAGATTTTAGATTTATTTAGGGCCTTTTGCACATGTTTATAGAATGTTTACTCTAACAGGGACAAGACAGCTCCCCCTCAGTGAGACCCTGGCCTAAACATATTTGCTTTACTTATATAGCAAGAGGGTAACATTGAACATGGAAGCTTTCAATTTGTGGCACTGAATGACGATCTACACAGGGCATCCTTCAAAGGCTACAATTAAGGATCCACCTAGCTTTTCAGCAATACAAGCCCGATTGAGGTCTTCTGGCCCATTTGCTTGACATTCGTGTTTTATGCCTAGGGAGGAAAAATAACAATTTTATTTAGAATTATGGCAGTAGCTTACCTACTTCTCCAAGATACCAAACTTTTTTGAAAGATTAGCTCTAAGATGGATAGATAAGCTGTAGTATACACAAACAACGGAATACTACATAGTAATGTGAATAAATAATCTGTAACTACATGCATCAAAATGAATGGCTCTCACAAACACAATGCTGACTAAAAGAAGCCAGACATAAAAGCATACATTCTGGATGATTCCATTTGTATAACACAAAATCAGCCAAAGCTACTTTATGATGTTAGAAGCCAGGGTACTGGCTACCCTGTGGGGGGAGGAGTAAGAGCAAGGGGTGTGGGTGAAGGGGGAATGTGTGAGGCTTCTGGGTTGCTGGTCATGAACTCCAGAAACAGCCATTATGTTCGGTTTGTGAAATTTCATTGAGTTCTACAATAACTTATGATCTATGCTTTTCTACAGATACACTGTACTTCAAGAAAAAGTTACAAAGCAGGTCTAGTAATCATTTTTCTTGGTTTTTAAAACATAAGCAAAAATATGAATTCAATGCTTTGATGGCAGTTATTTAGTCACAATGTCACAATTTAGTAACAATAATACTATACACTCAAGAAATCTATCACAATGAAAACTATGTAAAACGGTTTATTGACTGCTTTCTCAGAAGAATGACATCACCACACTGCAGAATGAGCTCAATCATGAAATTATATACAGTAGCTTCTCTGTAAACAGCTGCTACCCTTTAAACAGCTGCATTGTTTCTGATTTTTCATAATTTTAAAAGACCATTTCTTGAGGTGCTGAAAGCATTGCAGGTCAGCTTTTAGACCACTTAAGAGTGATTAGAAGCCAGTGAAGGTTTCACTAGGAAAAAAGGCAACAAGGTGACGGTCTTTAATCTCACCAGATCAAGTCTATGTAGCAATTCCCTGTACTGAAAGCCAGTGCAGACTAGGGATGATGAGAAATCCACTCTGAATCTTTTCAATTACACTGTGGAAGTGTTGAAGCTAAGGAACCACGTTAAAACATCAGTTAACTGTCTGGTGCACACTTCTGGGGGATGGCCCAACATCAGATGAACACATGAAGAACCCGACAAGGCCTGAACTATGCAGCAGCAGGTTTCAGGAAAGGAAGCAAGAATTTTGTTTTCCTAAGTAAAACAAGCTAGGGCAAACCTGTTCTACTACAAGAATATAAAAACCAGTCAGATTAAAACAAACAAAAAAATGAAAGACACACTGGGCCAAGCCCTTGCGACCCTGGCTCGCCCAGCTGTTTGGAGGTAGCCAGGGCAGGAAGGTGGCGGGGCAACCTCTTCGACTCAGTTCCCACAATCCAGACCAAGCGTCCCATTCTACAGCTGAGAGAATCAAGGCCCAAGGAGGTTAAGCAGTTTTGGCTGAAGTCACACAGCAGTTAGATGACAAGCTTAGCCTTCAGTGCAGGCCTTTGGGCACTTGCCCCATGCTCTTTCCGTCCTACCAAGATCCCCTCCTTGCTGGAGACAGTAAGGATGGTCAGGCCATCTCATCAGGATCCCAATCACCTAGTGGCAAGTCAAATATAACTGGCCAGCTCAAGGAGTGAGGATACCTTCCTTTGGACACAGATGAGTCAGTCACCTAAAATCACAGCATTCCAGAGTGAAGCTAGAGATAAGAGAATCCTTTCGCATTCATGAACAATTCCTTTTTGTAACTTTGTTATATCAACTACATTCAAAGGCAACAGCAAATTTATTCTTTAATATGACCAATGTAAACCAATTAGTCTGCACCTGCTACATAAGAAACTAGGCAGCATCTCAAACTAGTTGAAAACTAGCCTGAACGAGTGATATGCATTCAATGTGGAGAGCACAGGGTTATTAAACATGGGTCACTCACACCCAGAGTGAGCAGCACAAGGCAGAAGACATGCTAAAAGCAGGCTTCAGCCTTCGAGGTTTTTTCTCCAAAGCTCTCTAAAGAAAATAAGGTGCTTCTCAGAAAAGATGTAGCCCCCATTCCAGGGGCTCATCATCTCTCTAAATGTTTGGAACCAAATCTAGACCATACCTTGAAATTTCTTTTTGATTGCATCCTTGGAGCTCGCATAGATCATTTTACTTTTCAGAGGTGCTAGTTCTGGTGCCCTGGAGAGGGAAATGGCAAAAACAAACAAAAAAAATGATTCAGAGAAAGTACAATTTACATTGTGTTAAACATCCCCAGTGATGGGGGAGGGTCCTCAGAATCTCCTGAGAGAGTTTTTCTAACGATTTTTTTATTTTCCCACCTCCTTGGAGAGAAACTGTTACGGAAGAGTATACATCGAATTACTCAGGCTAAACAAGGTGAAAAAATAGAGAACCACTGATTAAAAATCAGATTATTGGACCAGCCCAGTGGTATAGTGGTTAAGTTCACAACCTCCACTTAAGCAGCCTGGGGTTTGCAGGTTCGGATCCTGGGAGCAGACCTAGCACTGCTCGTCAAGCCATGCTGCAGCAGCGTCCCACATTAAGTAGAGGAAGACTGGCACAGATGTCAGCTTGTGCCAATCATCCTCAAGCAAAAGAGGAAGATTGGCAACAGATGTTAGCTCAGGGCTAATCATCCATACAGACCAAAAAACATAAAATTAGATCATCTAACACTGAATAATTCACTGTACTACCCAATTCATTTTCTTTAAAATAATTTTCTTTTTCAATTTTTATCAATAAAGGCTTGAGTTCAGGCTAATAATCATTTTTATGCACGGCTTTTTTAACACTTTCTGGTTGGAAAAAAGTTTCAAAGGACAGAAAAGCACAGAGAATTATCTGTAAATCAAGTATCTACCACCCAGAATTAAGAAATGCTAGCCATTTTAGCACTTTTGCTTCAGACTGTTTTCTATAAAAGAATATATTGCAGGGGCCGGCCCTGTGGCTGAGTGGTTAAGTTCACACGCTCCGCTTCAGGGGCCCAGGGCTTCACCAGTTTTGATCCTGGGTGCAGACATGGCACCACTCATCAGGCCACGTTGAGGTGGCATCCCACATGCCACAACTAGAAGGACCCACAACTAAAAACATACAACTACGTACTGCGGGGATTTGGGGAGAAAAAGCAATCGGAAAAAAAAAAGAATATATGACAAAGTAAAAGTCCCCTTCTTACCCCTCCTCAGTCCCTGTATTTCCATCTATCCAATAGCAAATTCGGAGCATGAGTACGTGGCTTCCATCTTAGTCTAACATAACAAAAAATGTCACAAGGTTTTCTTTTTTTTAAGCTTACTGGCAATTCAGCAATAATTATGTCTCAATTTACAGTATTACTATTTTCCTGTATTTACAAAATTTTTAGTGCCTCCCTCCTCTTGAATGAATACTAGAAAAAGCATAACATATGTGTCACTTTATTCATCAGCAATATTAAAAAACAACAGAAATATTAACAGTGAACAAAAAACTCATCCTTCTCCAACTGCTCATCTACAAATGCATTATTTATTTCCCATTATACTACCAAACCTCAGGCCTGCCTCTACTCCATGCTACCCAGGAACCAAAGGGTAAATGGAGTGTGGCACTTAATGATTCCACTTAGCTACAATACTTCCAGGACGTCCAACAGTCATTAACACCGTGGGCTGGCATGACCTCACCTAGCCTACTCTCCCACAGTAGGCAGAGAATCTATTCTTGGGAACCAAGAAAAAGGCAGTCTCTGTCTCTCAGATGTTTATTCCTCCCAATTCGAAGGTCTAAGGAGGGAGACAAAGCCATGACAATAACGTGAGGTCTGGCAGATGCTTGAGCTGCAAAGTTAACTTTTCTTTTGCAAAATAGGCAGGGACAGGAAAAGCATTGGCTGTTCTGATTTTACATTAACCAGATTTTTAAAACACTAAGTAAGAGCCCTTCCCTGGGCCCTAAACAGAGCCCGTTAAGGACAACTCCTATATAATAAGGTTTACCTTTTCTTAAAAAAAGTAATAGTGCGGGACCGGCCCGGTGGCGCAGCAGTTAAGTGTGCACATTCCGCTTTGGCAGCCCGGGGTTCGCCAGTTTGGATCCCGGGTGCGGACATGGCACCACTTGGCACGCCATGCTGTGGCAGGCGTCCCACATATAAAGTAGAGGAAGATGGGCATGGATGTTAGCTCAGGGCCAGTCTTCCTCAGCAAAAAGCGGAGGATTGGCAGCAGTTAGCTCAGGGGTGATCTTCCTCAAAAAAAAAAAACAGCACAAAACAAAACATTGCACTAACACTGAATTTCCTTTTACTTTTACTTTCCAAATGTTCTTTAATAAGGATTTGCACAGTAAGCTGCCCCAATACATGCTCCCTGACCTCCATATTTGCATTCCTTACAGCATCTTGGTTTAATCAAGTGTAACAAGGGCTTGCGGAAATGGAACTGAGGTGTGGTCTAGAGTTACATTCCTTTAAACCAGAATTCTTTTGACTTCCCAGCCCCACATCCAAAAGCTGTTGGTGGCACACAGCTAAGAGCTAAGCCCCTCCGTGCCTTGCTCTAGCTCAGGCCAAAGTATCAAGAGGACCCTCACCTCCCCCAAATCAGAGGCTGTTACCAACTGCCCTTCCTCTTAGAAGCTAGAGAATATTCTCACTATGTAAGATTTCCATGTGAAGGAATATAGTATAATACAATTAAATGAGGGAATCAGGCATGACTTTTAACTCAAGCTTAATCTCAAATATTAACTTATTTGAAAAGATGAGAATAACTAATTTAAACAGCCTTTCTTTCAAGAAAAGGCCATGTAACTCACTTTATAGCACTTTTACTACTTAGAGCAATGCTGTCCAATAGAGCTTTCTTGCAATGATGGAAAGAAATGTTCTACATCTGTGTTACGCAATAAGGTAGCTACTAATCGCATTTGGCTACTGAGCATGCGAAATGCGGTAATTAAACTAAGAAACTAAATTTTAAATTTTATTTAATTTTAATTATTTTAATAGCCACAAACGGCTAGTGCCTACCCTACTGGACAGTGTGAACGCAGAACAGATTACAGTTGAGGCAATGATAGTACTGACTTCAAAAGTAACGAACCACAGAGAAGGACGGGTGTTTAAAAAGGAGGTTGGCTCCCAGCGTGGCATGGGCGGAGGACTTTGCTAAAGTAAACTTTCTTCTCAGTATTATAGGAAGAATTTTTAGAGAAATTCTGCCTTCTAAGGAGTGAGTTCAGAGGATGCACAGAAGTCTACCTCCTGCCTCTTCTCCCACCAAAAAAATCAACTATTGAAAGTTATGTTCTTTGAAGTACTCAAAGAGCGGCTAAAATTTAGTTTTGGTCCCACAAACATCAGTCCCCATAAGATCTTATGAAACCTTGTAAATAAAAATTAAGTAACAATGACTGGAGATAGCCTGACTTAAAATTACTTTTGTCCCAGGAACTGCTTCTCCAAGTGCTAAGCTAACAATAGGAAATTAACTCTTCAGTTTCACTGAGGCTCAACATTTCTAGTGATGCTTACCACAAAAAAAACATCAACTCCTCTTTTCTGGATTCCTTGGTTTCAAAGCTTGCATCATACAAAGCATAACGACAATCTTTTTCAGGAAGCATTCCCACAAAATGCTTGAAAGGATCGGTTATGGTTACACCAACATCTCCAACCAAGATCTCTTTGCCTTCTTCTACAATGATGCACTTTTTGTCTGCACTGAGACAAAAAATAACAGCCTTCTTTCTTTTCTTGATTTCTTCGGGTGTGGAGCACTTCCGAACTTTCATGTCATAAAAAATGCGACATACTTCATCAGCAACTTGCACTCCTGAGGCCTACAAGAGAAAAAAAATCAGAAAGAGGCCTACAACTTTTATCATGCCAAATATAAAATAATATGTGTTAACTTTTGGCTATAGACTAGCAAAGACTTAAAATTTTTAAGGTATACTTATCATCCAATAGGAAAACTAGAAAATCTGAGCTGCAATCACTAACTTCAGTCACTGAATTTTTTAAAAGATTACATACATAAGCCATTCATCACTGTTACGTGGGAGTAAGGAAAGCTACACAGCCCCTCGTACCCTAAAATCTGGAAAGAAGTGCTTCCCGAGGTGCTGGATTATCATCTTCTTACAGACAGGTTGTTCAGAGCCCTAACTGGGGGTAGTCATCTCCCCAGTTAACTGGGTATTAATAATACCCAATATTCTTTCATAATGCATTACAGACGGTCAGAGTAGCAGGGTTGGGAAAATTCCATCCCTACAGCATTTCTTTCTCTAATAGAAGAATAATTAAAAGGTCTTTGTTTTACTCACATTTCAAAATTATGTAATTTTCAGCAACATATTAGTCACATGCCTTTAGTATTTCACTTATAAAACCTCCTAGTTTTAAATTAAGAATAGAATAAATAAGATTGCTAACAGAATAGATCTTAATTGTTCCCATCACAAAAAAGAAATGATCATTATGTGACATGACGGAGGTGTTAGCTAATGCCACAGTGGTGATCATACTGCAATATATAAACGTATCAAACCAATGCCTTGTACACCTTCAATTCACACAACGTCATATGTCAATTATATCTCAATTTTAAAAAAGAATAAATAAGAAAATGTTTACTACAATAACAAAGAGGATAGCTTAATCTGAGACTGCACTGACCAGAAAAGTAAACCTTTTACCACATCATATTTGCTATTCTGAGACAAGGAAGCAGTTACACAGGTCTTGATAGCAAAAGATCTAAAACCAGTTTTTATTCTTTTCAACTTCTTTAAGGAATGTGTTGTTTATATTAACTTTACTCATATGCAAATTTTTCTATGCTTCTTTAACTACTCTCGTTTGCATGTTAGCTTTTCTAAAGCAAGAATTATAAACCTAATAGAATTTAAATATGAAACAATGCAAAAATATCAATGATACCCAAAATTAATGTCAAGTAATTTGGTTAAGAAATAAAAATGCATGTAAGATGAAAAGATAACCCACACACTGGAAGAAAATACTTGCAAATCATATATCCAATGAGGAACTTGTATCCAGAATATATAAAGAACCCTTATAACTCAACAATAGAAAAGACAAATAACCCAATTTAAAAATGTGCAAAGGATTTGAATAGACTTTTCTCCAAAGAAGATTTATAACTGGCCAATAAGCACTTGGAAAATGCTCAGTATCATTAGTCATTCATTATGGAAGTACAGATCAAAACCACAATGAGATACTACTTCACACCCACTAGGATGGCTCTAACAAAAAAGACAACAGGAACATATGTTGGTGAGGGGGTTAAGAAAATATAACCCTTATACATTGCTGATATAATTGTAAAACAGAGCAGCTACTTCAACAGCCTGCCAGTTCCTCAAAAGGTTAAACATGGAGTTAATGTCTAGCAACACCACTCCTAGGTATATACACAAGAGAAACAAAAACGTATGTTCATACAAAAACTTGTACATTAAACAAAATGTGGTATATCCATACAATGGAGTATTATTCAGCCATAAAAAAAAAATGAGGTACTGATACCTGCTATAACACAGTGCTAAATGAAAGCAGCCAGACATGAAAGGCCATATACTGCACGAGTCTCTTCCTATGAAATGTTCAAATAGGTAAATCTAAACAGGATTCACAGACAAGAAGTAGATTTAGTGGTTGCCAGGTGCTAAGGAGAGAGGGGAATGGGGAAGTGACTACTAATAAGCCTGAGGTTGGTTTCTTTGTGAAGTGATGAAATGTTCTGGAATTTGACAGTGGTGATGGATTCACAACTCTGTGAATGTAGTGGAAACCAATGAATTGTACTTTATGGTATGTGAATTACATCTCAATAAAGCTGTTACTTAAAAATGCATGTAAGGATTCGGGGGGTTAAAATACACTAAGATTGTAGCATTTACTTAATATTAAGGTAACTGGGCCACAATCATCTCATTCAATAAAAGAGCTCTAATATACACTCCAATCCCATCTAATTTAATCCGCATTTAATCACAATCCACTTCAATCCTATCTAACCTAACTCATATTTTGTTTATAAATGAACATTTCACTCTAAATTAACAAAGTTGTAAATACAGAAAATTAAGACTAGAAAACTACCTTAAAAGCTATACAACCTTATCACCTTTCTACTTTTAAAAAGCACTCTTCTTGGTGCCAGCCCGGTGGCATGGTGGTTACGTTCACACACCACTTCAATGGCCCAGGGTTCGCAGTTTCAGACCCCAGGCGTGGACCTACACATCACTCATCAAGCCACGCTGAGGAGGCATCCCACATACAAAATAGAGGAAGACTGGCACCGACATTAGCTCAGAAACAATATTTCTAAAGCAAAAAGAGGAAGATTGGCAACAGGGGCCAGTCTTCCTCAGCAGCAAAAAAAACAAACAAAACCAAAAAAAAACCACAAGCACTCTTCTTAAACCTTCTTTTACTGCTTTAGAAGTAGTATTGTTCTGCTCTTCACAGTTCATCTCTGTTAAGCAAGTTAATCTTTATTTTGCTTTTTTGAACAGAGATGAATAAAATTTTCAAAGTAACAAAAATTAATGAAGAACTAGAAACAGACTCCAATTCCTCTAACTCCCTAGTCCGTAATGTTGATTTGTAAGTCACATTTGACCAACCCATCTTTAAAAGCACGAAGGTCACATTTGAAGCCTTATAGCCAACCAATTGATATTTGAATGTATCTATCAAGATAAGATCTAAGAGAAGTATCTCAAACAACACTTTAAATTCTGACTTGGAAATTAATCAAATTAATCATGTAGCAGTAATTGAAAATAGAAAGTCAATGTGTATTCTGCAATTATAATGCAACTAATCTTAGCCAAATCTAGCCGGAACTTACAGGCACCTTAAAAGCTTCAGTAAGGAGGAGTTTGGGCTACTATCAAAAAAGAGGTCTATGAAGGTTTCTGATGAGGGGAAAACTAAAGACACTTCTGCTTGAGGAAATAAACACTGAACACTACGAAGGAGAAGCCGGCAAACACACTGGAAGCAGGAAGACCACTTTTGAGGCAATTACAAACATTCAGAGGAGAAAGCTCTGAACTACAACAGTGGGGCTGAAAACAAAAAACAAACCCAAGGACATTCCAAAGTAGAACCAATAGAGCTGAATGAAAGATGAAGCAGCAGCATCAAAGACGACCTAGGATTCTCTAGACTGTGACCAGAAAGACTGTGAGGTATAAACAGAAGGGAGACGACGGGTACAGTGTGACATGTTAATTTTGAAGACTGTGACATGACACCCAGGCGGAGATGACCAGTCAGGAACTGGAAATATGAGCACGGATCTAATAAGAAGGCTGAGCCTAAAAGATATTTTGGACTATAATCAATACCATGGTGGTATCAACACTAAGCAGCAAAAAAGAAGTCAAGAAGACTAAGAAGAAATGATCAGAAAGCTAAGAAGAAAAAGCAAGAACGGAGGGAAAAAAGCATCCTAGAAGCCAAGGGAGAATATTTTGAGGAGGGAGGTCATCAATATTAAAAACTTCAAAGTTTGAGAACGACTGCAACCACATCACTGGGCTTGGCAACTGGGCCTCTGAGCACTTCAGGAGCCTGGAGGAGGCAGGCAGAAGTCCAGGGCATGGGCTGCAGAGCCACAGGGAATTGAGGAGGTAAAGACAGAAAATACAGGATGGTTAATGGCAAAGAGAAAACAGAAGATTGAGTGCTAACTTTACAGAAGTTGTCTTACAACTGGGGAAATTTGACCATACTAAATGTTTAGAAGCTTGAAGGAAAACCAAAAACATAAAAAAAAAAGTAATACTGAGTACTTACTATTGTCAGACACTTCTAAATCACAAAAATTCTATGAGATAGCTACTATTATTATTTGCATTTTACAGATGGGGAAATTGAGGCATAGAAAGATTAAATAACTTGGCCAGGGTCACTGAGAAACTGACAGTAGAACTGAGATTTGAACTCAGACAATCTGGCTCCAGAGGGTAGTCTTAACCACTCATAATAAAGAGTCAGAACTCTAAAGAGACGGGGCACGATGGGGGAGTTAGTCTTAGAAAAGGATACACATTTTTTCCTCTAAAATAGGAAGAGGGTGGAAGTAAGAAACCTGCTAAAAATTGTGCTTGAAAGGCTCCATTTTCTCTGTGAAGTATAAGCCAGAAGGAGTAGGGCAGAGGTTTGAGGGCACATGAGATAAAGATTTAGAATAGTTGTGATGGAGAGTTCCAAAGGAAATCACCGAAAGATAAGCTCTGAGGCCATCTAAAGATTCAGCTGAGGTCAAAGAGGGCGATGGCAGAGCAATCTGGCAGAAAGCAGATGCTGAGGGCAGTGAAGGTGGAAAGGAAGGACTCTGCATTCTCCCTAGGAGATTTTATCCAAGCTCCAGGTTTCAATCATCTCATCCAAACGACTCACACAGTGTTCAGTCTTTGGCTTTTCTGAGCTCCCAGCCTTTACACCCAATTTCCCATCTAACATCTCTAGCTGGATGTGTCAAAGGGCTCTGACGCTCAGCATGTCAAAGTCTCCTTCTAGTCAGTCTTCCTTTATCAGGACACATGCCATCCTAGTTCCATAAGCCCCAAACCTAAGAGACACCCTCAACAATTCCTTCTCCCTCACCTCACTTCACTCTTTGGACTTTCATATTTTTTCCCAAGATAATCATTTCTCTCAATCTCTGCTGCCACTCCCCAGCCCAAGTTACCACTGCTTCTTATGGTGAACTGTTACGACCTCCCAAGTGGTTCAGGGGAGCGAGGTCAGGAGATATGTGCACTACACTGTTTCCTCTGTCTGGGCGCAC